ATGGTCAAATACCGTTCATATTCGAGAGAACTTCAAATTTCCCACAAAACATGGAACCTAGACAGAAGTACTAAAGTACAGACGCAACAGAAGGCCCTAGAGGCAAAGTAACTACCACAACTAATTCTTCCTTCCACTTTCCCAATTAGTGGCCACTGTTCGCTCCGGTGCTCCCTGCGTGCAAATTAGCCTTATTTTTTTTTGTTTTTGAGATATATACAAGAGTTGTTACATGGTTGTAGAGCCACTAGTACGCGTAGCGTTTCGGGCAGGTCCCTGGAATACGATCCCCGCCGCGAAGAATCGTTGTTACAACCAAGTACACATTTTACTGTTGAGTTAAACAGAGGCTACAGTTAAGGAATTGCGCCCAGTAAATCCTCCCCGGCCAGGATACGAACCCATGACAAAGCGCTCGCGGAACGCCAGGCGAGTGTCTTACCACTACACCACGGAAACTGGTTCTCTAAACGAGCATGAGAAGAATAGCGAGTTAGTTGAACTCATTCAGGAAAAACGCTGCCGATTTGGCCCTAATCGGAGGACGTGATTGGTTTATGAGATTTTTGAACTAGAATGTGTGAGTGGGCTGGTGGCGCTCACCGCTGTTGCTATTTTTAAACGTTTAATTGTTGACTACTTTTGGAGAGAACTATTGGATGATCTCCGGTGCTTGCTTAACTGTTTTGTTTGATCTGAGACGCCATACAAGAGTGTGTAGTTATGTGTGTGTATGTACTCACCTAGTTGTGCTTGCGGGGGTTGAGCTCTGGCTCTTTGGTCCCGCCTCTCAACTGTCAATCAACTGGTGTACAGGTTCCTGAGCCTACTGGGCTCTATCATATCTACACTTGAAACTGTGTATGGAGTCAGCCTCCACCACATCACTGCCTAATGCATTCCATCTGTTAACTACTTTGACACTGAAAAAGTTCTTTCTAACGTCCCTGTGGCTCATTTGGGTACTAAGTTTCCACCTGTGTCCCCTTGTTCGCGTACAATGGGAGCCGGCCGGCCGAGCGGACAGCACGCTGGTCACGTGATCCTGTGGTCCCGGGTTCGATCCCGGGCACCGGCGAGAAACGATGGGCAGAGTTTCTTTCACCCTATGCCCCTGTTGCCTAGCAGTAAATAGGTACCTGGGAGTTAGTCAGTTGTCACGGTCGAGGTCGAGGACCGGGCCGCGGGGACACTAAAGCCCCGAAATCAACAAGATAACCTAAAGAAGAGATAACCACCCGTGATAAACAGTTTATCTTTATCTACCTTGTCAGTTCATCTGAGAATTTTGTAGGTAGTGATCATGTCTCCCCTTACTCTTCTGTCTTCCAGAGTCGTAAGGTGCATTTCTCGCATTCTTTCCTCGTAATTTATGCCTCTTAGTTCTGGGACTAGCCTAGTGGCATTCCTCTGAACTTTTTCCAGCTTCGTCTTGTGCTTGACAAGGTACGGGCTCCATGCTGGGGCCGCATACTCCAGGATTGGTCTTACATATGTGGTGTACAAGATTCTGAATGATTCCTTACACAGGTTCCTGGACGCTGTTCTGATGTTAGCCAGCCTCGCATATGCCGCAGACGTTATTCTCTTTATGTGGGCTTCAGGAGACAGGTTTGGTGTGATATCAACTCCTAGATCTTTCTCTCTGTCCGTTTCATGAAGTACTTCATCTCCTATTTTGTATCCTGTGTCTGGCCTCCTGTTTCCACTGCCTAGTTTCATTACCTTGCATTTACTCGGTTGAACTTTAGTAGCCACTTGTTGGACCTTTCACTAAGTCTGTCTAGGTCATCTTGTAACCTTCTAACCTATCTTCCTCTGTTTTAGTCCTCCTCATAATTTTTGTATCAGCAAACATTGAGAGGAACGATTCTATACCCTCTGGGAGATCATTTACATAGAAACAGTATAGGTCCAAGGACTGAACCCTGCGGGACTCCACTGGTGACGTCTCGCCAATCTGAGACCTCACCCGTCACAGTGACTCGCTGTGTTCTGTTGCTTAGGTAATCCCTCATCCAATGGAGTACTTTTCCTTTCACTCCAGCCTGCTTCTCCAGCATTTTCAATAGTCTTTTGTGTGGTTCAGTATCAAAGGCATTCTGGCAATCCAAAAATATGCAGTCTGGCCACCCCTCTCTTTCTTGCCTGGTCGTAGAATTCAATTAATCCTGTGGGGCAGGACTTACCATCCCTGACTCCATGTTGATGCTGTGTTACAAAGATCCTTCGCTCCAGATGTTCCATTGCCTTTCTTCGCACAATCTTCTCCATCAGCTTGCATGGTATGCAGGTTAGGGACACTGGCCTGTAGTTCAGTGCTTCCTGTCTATCCCATTTCTTGTATATCGGGACTACATTAGCCGTCTTCCAAATTTTTGGCAATTCCCCTATTACCAGTGATTTGTTATACACTATGGAGAGTGGCAGGCACAGTGTTTCTACTCCTTCCTTTAGTATCCATGGGGAGATTCCATCTGGGCCTATAGCCTTTGTCACATCCAACTCTAGCAAGAGCTTCCTTACATCCCCGCTGGTAATCTCAAACTCTTCTAGTGGTTCCTGGTTATCTATTCTCTCTCTTATCTCTAGAACTTCTCCTTGCTCTAATGTGAAGACCTCCTGGAATTTCTTATTCAGTTCCTCACACACTTCCTTGTCATTTGTAGTGAATCCTTCCGCCCCTATCCTTAATCTCATAACCTGTTCCTTTACTGTTGTTTTTCTCCTGATGTGGCTATGCAGCAATTTAGGTTGAGTCTTTGCCTTGCTTGCGATGTCATTTTCGTATTGTCTTTCTGCCTCTCTTCTCATCCTGACATATTCATTCCTGGCATTCTGGTATCTTTCTCTGCTCTCCAGTGTCCTGTTATTCCTATAGTTTCTCCATGCCCTTTTACTTTGCTGCTTAGCTAGCCTACATCTCTGATTAAACCATGGGTTTCTCATCTTCATTTCACTGTTTTCCTTTTGGACCGGGACAAACTTGTTTGCTGCGTCCTTGCATTTTTGCGTGATGTAGTCCATTATGTTCGATCCCATTGCATAACCTCAGTATTTCATCAACAACGAAGGTTTTTAGACACAGTAATTACTTCCTGTTAGAGACTGACCACATCTTGGATGCAATATAATGCATTATTTTGATTATTCTTAAAACGACGGTATTCACGCCAAACGATTTGGTCTGACGTAACAATACGCACAGTTAGACCTTGCTAACAAAAAAAAAAATCCCACGTTTTGCACTATTAATTTTATTATCAGAAGAAAAAAAAATTAAGCTAAACTAAACGTTAACATTTGTAGGCCTATTATAGTGCATATATGTACTATATTAGGCCTTAAATAGAACATATATGTACTATATTAACAGTCTATTTAACAGTCTCCGTGGTGTAGTGGTAAGGCACTCGCCTGGCGTTCCGCGAGCGCTTTGTCATGGGTTCGTATCCTGGCCGGGGAGGATTTACTGGATGCAAATCCTTAACTGTAGCCACTGTTTAACGCAACAGTAAATTGTGTACTTGGTTGTAACAACGATTCTTCGCGGCGGGGATCGTATTCCAGGGACCTGCCCGAAGCGCTACGCGTACTAGTGGCTCTACAACCATGTAACAACTCTTGTATATATCTCAAAAAAAAAAAAAAATATATATTAGGCCTTAAATACAGTGTACAAGGCATTGAACAGATCAGGTATGGTTCTGTAGTTACGCTGCAGATTTTCTTTGTTAGGTTGCCATTGAGGCTAATTCAGTAACTCAAGACGTAACCTAAAGGGGTCCAAGAGTATATGTTAATTTTTTTTTTTTTTGAGATATATAGAAGAGTTGTTACATGGTTGTAGAGCCACTAGTACGCGTAGCGTTCTGGGCAGGTCCCTGGAATACGATCCCCGCCGCGAAGAATCCTTGTTACAACCAAGTACACATTTTACTGTTGAGTTAAACAGAGGCTACAGTTAAGGATTTGCGCCCAGTCAATCCTCCCCGGCCAGGATACGAACCCATGACATAGCGCTCGCGGAACGCCAGGCGAGCGTCTTACCACTACACCACGGAGACTGGTAACTATAGTTATAGTTATAACAGTTATAAGTTATAACTGTTACACAATTATAGCTGTGAGGAAATAGTCTTTAAGTACTCTACCGTCTTCAGAGCAGCTGACAAGCAAATTACGATACAGTGTTGTCTTCTATTCCGTGTTTATCATCTTTTCCTGCGGACTAACCTGTTCTTCACTATTTTCCTTCGTTAATATATTTTACACTTTTGCTTCGTTATATTTCGGAGTTTACATTTTCGTTCCTTTGATGTTCTATATATTTAACAATGAACACTTTCCTTAAGATATTTAATATATTGTGCTTTTCGTATTAATTATTCAGTTTGCTATTATATTCTGATTTAATCTGAGTTAAACAGGTTAAGTGTGAAATTTGTAGCCGTAGATGAATAGTCAAATCATCTTTAGACATATTAACATACACGAAGGGCAGGTGGGCAATTTAGACATATTAACATACACGAAGGGCAGGTGGGCAATTTAGACATATTAACATACACGAAGGGCAGGTGGGCAATTTAGCCATATTAACATACACGAAGGGCAGGTGGGCAATTTAGACATATTAACATACACGAAGGGCAGGTGGGCAATTCAACTCATAAATGGGCAATAAAAGAGTATTTCTAACAATTAATTTTTAATAATATAAATCGAGAAATGGCTAAAGCCTAAACTTCATTGAGAAGGATTCGTTAGTAACTAAATCATTAATTGTGTTTCTTTACAATGTTATGCTTTTGTTCCTGTTCAACTTCCTTGTTTATGTCCACTCCACAACTCCTCCCAACAATTAGAAGGCACTACGGGCTCACCATAGCCCGTGCTACTTGGAACTGCTTGTTCCAAGTAGCGAATCTTTAACAACAACTTCTCAACACCCCTGAAGGTATGAGCCTGACGGTATGTGGTACTGGGCTTCTTTACAGGCGTGATGGCGTGGTGGGTGGCGGTGGTATCAGTGGTGGCGGGGTTGTGCGGGCTGCCGGTGGCTGCCGAGAACATAAACGATACCATCAACGACCTGTTCTGGCCTCTGACGGATGTCCAAGAAGGCAGATTTTTCAGCTATGATAAAGTGACGCCTTTCAACGCCAGTATATCCTTCACTATCCCCCTCTTCTCCTTCACACTGCCTGGAGCGAATGACTTTACAGCATCTGGCCTCAGTACTCAGTCCTTCGCGTATCTGACTTTCATATCACTCTTCTTGCTTGGTGCCTTTGGAGTGGCTGTTTACACCGCAACCCATAAAGCCTGGCTGCCTGGGGGTAGGGAGGACTCAGAGGCAAAGTACTTACAGGATTCCTTTCTGACCAATCGCGTCGTAGAGTCAGTCCTGGAACTGCCCAAGGTGGTGGATACGAGAAGCTGTGCCAGTCTGGCTATCTGTGGGGCCTACGCTGATCGACACACATACGGCTACCTAGCCTGGCCCATCAGATTCCTCTCGCAGTAAGTAACACTGCACGTTTTTAATCACTCATTATCTTATAGACTGATGATACTGATTCATATATTTGTGTTCTGTTGCTGACTTATGTTGGAAAGTGGGAGATGAAAGAAGGAACTTGCTCCCACAACAATAATTACTTCTATAGTCCAAGTGAATGAAAGGTTATTATCCACGACATTGTGGTTAGTGATGAATATGACTGATGTGGATCACCTGACACCTTCATGCCCATGTGGCGCCTCACGGAAGGACTAGAGGTGTAGTTGGGTATCAGTTTGGTGTCTCTGAGACCCTTCCTCACAGTGGGTCCTCGTGGCTCAGGTGGTAGGGCTGAACGCTGCTGCTTTTTGTGCTTCGAGGTTCGAGGCTCTGATGGCCCGTGTGAGTGAAATACATATTAGAGATCTGACATGTGATCTGAATACATATCAGAGAGCTGGCGTGATTATGAGGGAAACCGTCAGGACTCCATGAACAACCACAACCCAGCCACAGCAGTTGTGTATACATATACATGTGGCCCACATGTATGCAGGTGGTCCACAGCTGAGTCACCTACCAGCCCACTATTCCACTGCTAACTACGCACTACATCCTGGCGTAGTTCACACACAACTCTGTAATTACTACTCAACAGTTACAATAACCTACACAACGAGAGTGTAAGCATTACACAGTAGCAGCAGATAGTGCTCCAAGCAACTGACTGTGTGATCCAAATATTAGAGTGTTTCTTCCAGTCGTTATAGACTGCATACTCTAGGCACTAGACTGTGTGCTTCATATATTAGACCGGGCCATCTTGATGGAACAAAAAATATATTCCAGGCACACATATAATTGCACAACAATATTTAGTTTTCGTCCACGAAACAAAAACAAATCAGGTCTGAAAGATAGCAACAATAACAGACGTATACTTCAAGATTTCACGACGTAAAGATATCTGACTCTTCCGTCTTCCTCAGGTTCACGTCCGGTACAGCTGAGGAGACGGAGACGGAGTTCCAGAAGGCGGCAAAGTACGGGGAGGAGGATGGCCAAGACTGCCTGTACGAGTTCCCATGTCTCGTCCAACCCCTTGACCTCCTCCTCTTCATGCATGACTACTGGCTCGGTAGCGAGTAGAGGGCAGCGAGTAGAGGGCAGCGAGTAGAGGAGAGCGAGTAGAGGGTAGCGAGTAGAGGGCAGCGAGTAGAGGAGAGCGAGTAGAGGGCAGCGAGTAGAGGGCAGCGAGTAGAGGGCAGCGAGTAGAGGGCAGCGTCTCCCGAGGCGGGCCTTGGGAGCTGCAACACGACAAGGCTTGAAGGAGAGGTCACTTCTGAAAGCTTAGCATGGCGAAAATCGTCAATGGATTTTCTGGGCATTTTTTTCATAAAATTAGTCGAGCGGGCATTTGAGTAGTTTGCTGATGAAACAAGGAAATGCTTGTCTTGGCTCCTGTCACTACAAGAAACTTACAAATGGCATTATTATCAAGGTTTCCTTCTCTAGTTTGGAGACTACGAAGGGTTATCGTGCACCTGGTTATCGTCGCTGCAATACGCGACCCGTTCTTATGGCATAAATATATCAGTGATAAACATTAAGTCTCACAGTAATCAGAGAGTTTACGTTATTTAGTCGAGGGGGGACTGTGTTACTCATCATTGACTTAGATGAATCATGGATGAGTGGGACACAAAGTACAGACATGATATATTCATCACAAACACTTCTGGTGACAATTATTGACCTTATTACAGGAAAATGGCATCAATGACCTTAACAACATGGTTTTACACATCAAAACTACCCTAAAAACGCATTAAATAAATTACCAATGATAATTAATCTTTCAAAAGTGATAATCTTAGGTAGGCCTAGTTCACTGATATTCTTGGGTAGGTCTAGTTCACTGATAATCTTGGGTAGGTCTAGTTCACTGATATTCTTGGGTAGGTCTAGTTCACTGATAATCTTGGGTAGGCCTAGTTCACTGATATTCTTGGGTAGGTCTAGTTCACTGATAATCTTGGGTAGGTCTAGTTCACTGATAATCTTGGGTAGGCCTAGTTCACTGATATTCTTGGGTAGGTCTAGTTCACTGATAATCTTGGGTAGGTCTAGTTCACTGATAATCTTGGGTAGGCCTAGTTCACTGATATTCTTGGGTAGGCCTAGTTCACTGATATTCTTGGGTAGGTCTAGTTCACTGATAATCTTGGGTAGGTCTAGTTCACTGATAATCTTGGGTAGGTCTAGTTCACTGATATTCTTGGGTAGGTCTAGTTCACTGATAATCTTGGGTAGGCCTAGTTCACTGATATTCTTGGGTAGGTCTAGTTCACTGATAATCTTGGGTAGGCCTAGTTCACTGATATTCTTGGGTAGGTCTAGTTCACTGATAATCTTGGGTAGGTCTAGTTCACTGATATTCTTGGGTAGGTCTAGTTCACTGATAATCTTGGGTAGGCCTAGTTCACTGATATTCTTGGGTAGGTCTAGTTCACTGATAATCTTGGGTAGGTCTAGTTCACTGATAATCTTGGGTAGGCCTAGTTCACTGACATTCTTGGGTAGGTCTAGTTCACTGATAATCTTGGGTAGGTCTAGTTCACTGATAATCTTGGGTAGGCCTAGTTCACTGATATTCTTGGGTAGGTCTAGTTCACTGATATTCTTGGGTAGGTCTAGTTCACTGATATTCTTGGGTAGGTCTAGTTCACTGATAATCTTGGGTAGGTCTAGTTCACTGATATTCTTGGGTAGGTCTAGTTCACTGATAATCTTGGGTAGGCCTAGTTCACTGATATTCTTGGGTAGGTCTAGTTCACTGATAATCTTGGGTAGGTCTAGTTCACTGATATTCTTGGGTAGGTCTAGTTCACTGATAATCTTGGGTAGGCCTAGTTCACTGATATTCTTGGGTAGGTCTAGTTCACTGATAATCTTGGGTAGGTCTAGTTCACTGATATTCTTGGGTAGGTCTAGTTCACTGATAATCTTGGGTAGGCCTAGTTCACTGATATTCTTGGGTAGGTCTAGTTCACTGATAATCTTGGGTAGGTCTAGTTCACTGATAATCTTGGGTAGGTCTAGTTCACTGATATTCTTGGGTAGGCCTAGTTCACTGATATTCTTGGGTAGGCCTAGTTCACTGATAATCTTGGGTAGGTCTAGTTCACTGATATTCTTGGGTAGGCCTAGTTCACTGATATTCTTGGGTAGGCCTAGTTCACTGATATTCTTGGGTAGGCCTAGTTCACTGATATTCTTGGGTAGGCCTAGTTCACTGATATTCTTGGGTAGGCCTAGTTCACTGATAATCTTGGGTAGGTCTAGTTCACTGATAATCTTGGGTAGGCCTAGTTCACTGATATTCTTGGGTAGGCCTAGTTCACTGATATTCTTGGGTAGGCCTAGTTCACTGATATTCTTGGGTAGGCCTAGTTCACTGATATTCTTGGGTAGGCCTAGTTCACTGATATTCTTGGGTAGGCCTAGTTCACTGATATTCTTGGGTAGGCCTAGTTCACTGATAATCTTGGGTAGGTCTAGTTCACTGATAATCTTGGGTAGGCCTAGTTCACTGATATTCTTGGGTAGGCCTAGTTCACTGATATTCTTGGGTAGGCCTAGTTCACTGATATTCTTGGGTAGGCCTAGTTCACTGATATTCTTGGGTAGGCCTAGTTCACTGATATTCTTGGGTAGGCCTAGTTTAGTGACACTGTAAAATATAAAAATACAGATTTTTATAAATGACCAAAGGACATGAAACAATGGCGAATGCACATTAAATCTGACGCTATCGAATACAACATCAAAATAATCCAGTGCTTTAGGCAAAACTGAAAGCATTGTAAAGCTGATGTTTCCTCGAACTACTAATCATCTACCATCAACCTCGATTGGTTAGACGTGTCAAGATTTTTACGATTCTGATTAGACAAGACAACTTCAGATTTGACGTATGTTACATGGAGACGCTTCGGGAATATGCATTATCATGCAGTAAACCGTAAGTCTAAAATAATGACACGCAATGACACGCAATCACACGCAAGCGGACTCATGTAAACTATGACAACTTTCATGACAGTGATTCCTAATTTCTGAAAAAAAATTAATGTAAGTCAGTGCTCAAAGATCTAATACTTTCTTTAAAAAAAACTAGTGTCATTTTCTTTAAAAAAAAAAAAACAGTGGCATTTTCTTTTTAAAAAACTAGTGTCATTTTCTGTTATTTTTTTTTAAGAATGTAATCATGTTTTTAGAATAGGTTCTATGTTATCTGTTAAATTTAATTAAATTTTTTCAGTATTTTACATTTGATGATGAATACCATTGAGTATTCGAAACATTATAGATTTTAATTGGAAAGGAAATATATATATATATATATATATATATATATATATATATATATATATATATATATATATATATATATATATATATATATATATATATATATATATATATATATACAATTGACGATCACAAAACACTGATCATTTTATGCGGAAATGATCAGTGACACATCATTTTATGTGTCTGGTGTTGACAAAGGTTTTAACAAAGCCGAAACGTTCACCTCATTTCATATTTCTCTGTGGATTTTCCGCATATATGTATATATATATATATATATATATATATATATATATGTGTATATATATATGTGTATATATATATATATATATATATATATATATATATATATATATATATATATATATATATATATGTATATATATATATATATATATATATATATATATATATATATATATATATATATATATATATATATATATATATATATACTGGAAAATATTGTGTAATATCAAACTAGTGATCTGTAAATTAAATTGAAGAATGCCTTAAATAAAGATATATATATATATATATATATATATATATATATATATATATATATATATATATATATATATATATATATATATAATTTGCTGAGTCTGTCAATTGAACCACCCACTTTAGCTGTATATATGTATATGTCGCCCCATGTAACTACCCCTCATCCCAAATGGGGGCCAAACAACCGTTAATGTAACATTGAAGCATCGCTGGTAACGTTGAATGTACGTTGTTTAAACGTTTATAATGTTTAAATGTTGTTTCTACGTTCATTAAACGCAGAAAAAGGTGACCCTACGTTAAGTGAACGTGGATGACGTTGATTATACAGTGATTTATAATTACTCGAGCATTAGAAGGTTGTACTGACGCAGAACGTCTAGTGACGCAAGACGTCTACTGACGCAAAACTGTCTACTGACATATAACGTCTCCTGACGTCTTACCAAATGATGGGGCCTACTTTTTTTTTGGGGGGATTCGACTTTTGTCTTGGGGTCAGCCATTGGATCCTCTAATTAACCGAAAAGTACATGTGTATTATATGTATTTTTGGTGTGTATGTTGTGTGCAGCACTGTCAGTATGACCCAGGGGGCGCCACGAGGTGAAAGATCGCTTATGGTGTATTACTTCTACTATCAATGAATGGCTCTAAGGCAACGTCTGAGATCCTTTCGGATGTAGGTTCGAACCCTCGTCACGGCCCTTGTGGATTTGTTCAATGGCTCTAAAGATCATATATATTACTGAAGATTGTTTAATTCTTTCATGCACATGTAAGGGTGGTGTGTAGCTTGCTAAAACGTGATCAAGGTATATGTCTGTTTTAAGACATGTTTAGGGATAACTTCACTAAGTTTTCCCCCATTACTTTCAGTTCCCTCCCATGGCATCACATTATAATAAATACATTATAACATTGTATAATAGTTATATTCCCCTTCCCAATAATATTCCCTAGAAACTTTTGTAATAACTAATTTAATTTTAATGATTTTACCTTTTTAATTATCATTATTTTATTTTTTTAACTTTCATAAACATTTATGCAATTATCACGCCGAAATAAAAATAAAATACTCATAATACTTATTTTTAAATTGAAAATATATTTATATAATTTTTGATAGTTTTATATTGGATAGTTTTTTTGTCCTTAGATTTTGTGAGTTGTTTGTTGATGGTTGGTAATCAGCGCTGATAAACTATGTATGAAGCGTTCTTTAAGTGTTATTAGTGATGTTGAAGGAGAATGCTTCCATCTCCTACTCTTGGGAGTCGGCGGTTCGAGTCTCCTACAGCCCAAGTGAATGAAATGTTATTACCTATATTTGCTGTGGTTGATAATTTATATGACTGGGGTGTGGCTCAACTAATTCCTCTATGCTTCAGTAGCAATTCAGGGAAGTCTTAAAATTAGAGTTGGGTAGCAGTTAATTGCTTCCAATTGTTAATTCTAATTAACAATTGTTAATTGGAATCCTTCCTTATTGTGGTTGTTCATAGCACTTAAGGTCAACAAATAGTTATACTTTGAGTAAATACTGAATTATACTTTTATTAGCACCAAATTATACTTTAGGTCACCACCCAAGTATACTTTGTATGATTACTTGGGAGATATGTATGATCACCTGGAGATATGTATGATCACCTGGGAGATATGTATGATCACCTGGGAGATATGTATGATCACCTGGGTGATATGTATGATCACCTGGGAGATATGTATGATCACCTGGGATATATGTATGATCACCTGGGTGATATGTATGATCACCTGGGTGATATGCATGATCACCTGGGAGATATGTATGATCACCTGGGAGATATGTATGATCACCTGGGAGATATGTATGATCACCTGGGAGATATGTATGATCACCTGGGAGATATGTATGATCACCTGGGAGATATGTATGATCACCTGGGAGATATGTATGATCACCTGGGAGATATGTATGATCACCTGGGAGATATGTATGATCACCTGGGAGATATGTATGATCACCTGGGAGATATGTATGATCACCTGGGTGATATGTATGATCACCTGGGAGATATGTATGATCACCTGGGAGATATGTATGATCACCTGGGAGATATGTATGATCACCTGGGAGATATGTATGATCACCTGGGAGATATGTATGATCACCTGGGAGATATGTATGATCACCTGGGAGATATGTATGATCACCTGGGAGATATGTATGATCACCTGGGTGATATGTATGATCACCTGGGAGATATGTATGATCACCTGGGAGATATGTATGATCACCTGGGAGATATGTATGATCACCTGGGAGATATGTATGATCACCTGGGTGATATGTATGATCACCTGGGAGATATGTATGATCACCTGGGAGATATGTATGACCACCTGGGAGATATGTATGATCACCTGGGAGATATGTATGATCACCTGGAGATATGTATGATCACCTGGGAGATATGTATGATCACCTGGGAGATATGTATGATCACCTGGGAGATATGTATGATCACCTGGGAGATATGTATGATCACCTGGGTGATATGTATGATCACCTGGGAGATATGTATGATCACCTGGGAGATATGTATGATCACCTGGGAGATATGTATGATCACCTGGGAGATATGTATGATCACCTGGGAGATATGTATGATCACCTGGGAGATATGTATGACCACCTGGAGATATGTATGATCACCTGGGAGATATGTATGACCACCTGGGAGATATGTATGATCACCTGGGAGATATGTATGATCACCTGGGAGATATGTATGATCACCTGGGAGATATGTATGACCACCTGGAGATATGTATGAGAGCCCAACAGTGCCACATGGGGGGGGGGGTACTAAGACAGGTGAAGACGAAAAAATTCATAACACATGTACGGACACATGTATCATGTATTTGTGTGATGGTATATAGTGAATAGAGATACATATATCGTGCAACAAACATGGCGATATGTGCTAATTAAGACATCGTGCTACAGGTGAGATGGCGTACAGGTGTGTACGCCTACAGGTGTGGCGTGTGGTGGGAATGGTGGCAGCGGCAGCGCTGTGTGCGGAGGTGGCAGAGGCCGCCATCAACATGGAGGACACCATCAGGGACGTCTTTGAAGGGCTGCCGGAGGGCCAGCAAGGCAGGTTCTTCATCCACTACGACCACGCGAAGGCCTTCAACACCTCTATTGCCTTTACCCTTCCGTTCTTCTCCTTCCTTCAGCCGGGCGTGTCGGAATTTGAGGCTGCTGGGCTCAATCCGTATTCCTTCGGCATCTTAGGCATTTTATCGTGGTTTATGCTTGGAGCGGTGGGCGTGGCTATCTACACCACCGGTCAAGACACCTCCGGTAGACAGAACTCAAAGGGACAGGACTTCCAGGAGTCCCTTCTGTCCAGACTGGTCGTGGAGTCCGTCTCGCGTCTGCCAGATGTCCTCTACGCGACCAGTTGCGCCAAACAGGTCGTCTGTGGCGCCCACGCTGATGGAGCCCAATACGGACTGTTAGCGCTGCTCTTCAGACTACTTGTGCCGTAAGTGTTGCTTCACTCACTTCAACCTGCGGTGACCAGTTGATTGCATCATTGCAGCCTGCATGACCCACGGGCACGATATCGGAAATCAATTCAGAATACTTGGTGTGTCTTCTAGGGAACTGAATTCAGAACTCAATATTCTGCTGATTCATATCCTTGGATTATTTCCCGAATGCCGTGTAAAAATACACGGTATGCATTACTGCATCAGGGAAGTGAGCGAATCCTAGAAATGGATGTTGGAATGCAACACCAATAGCATTATACATGCAAGATGTTTATTGAGAATGTTATCCATTTCTTCACCTTTATTAATTAACTGTCTAGTTTAATCTATTCTTAGAATTCTAAGTCTTCTCAATTTGATTATCTAAAGGATTATTTCTAGATTAGAACACTGGCTTTCCGACTATCTACACCTATTCTTTAATTTTTATTTATTTTACCTTACTGCAAATTAAGCATTTCTTGATAGTGTATAAAATAATGTTTTAAATAAATCTTCCCAAAGGTAATATATTTCTACAAACATTTTATTTTACAATGAAATTTTTTACGCATTTAACACTTTCATTGTAGGTCATTATAAGTCGACGTAATTCATTTATATGGAATATTATTTCCATAAGATGTAATTAAAATATTTATAAACGTATACATACAGGTGTTCAGGGCAAACTAAAGGATTATGTTAGAAATACAGCATATTTAAAGAGCACTTAAGGACGTCTCAGACTTGAGGTGCTTGAATGTAAGCTAAGTGTAGCTGCTCATCTTACTGACTCTTCCCATCTTCCTCAGGTACTCCCCGGACACACCTGAAGAGCAGCTGACGGAGTTCCAGAAGGCGGCGAGATACGGACAGGAAGACGGAAGTGACTGTCCATACGAGTATCCCTGTGTCGTCCAGCCCCTCGACCTCCTCCTCTACATCTACGACTACTGTCACGACGACCCCAGAGCTGTGGGTCGTCCACAGAGGCAGACTTATACGGTAATGCCGGACTGGAGAAAGAGCGACTCAGTTTGACCAGCTATGGACTTCATGTAGCCAACTGCGCTATCGCGAACAGACGACATCAGTCGATTAAAGCAGCGTCTGGGATGCTCTCGGACGTAGGTTCGAATCCTCGTCACGGCCCTTGTGGATTTGTTCATTTGACGTCATTAATTAACTACCAAAAGCCTGCGAATAACATCAAGTCCTACTCCTTCGGTATTAATTACAAATTGTCTTAAATTTCGCTGCCTATATGAATCAATAAATATTTTATCACTTATTTTATATCCAAGAACATTGCACTCTACCTAGACTTACGAAATCTACAGAGTCTATTCTATGCTCCACTAGGATCGACTCTAGTCTATTCATAATGGAAACAAATCATAAATTTTCCAATAAATGGGTTTCTTAGGTCAAGCTTCAGTTGACCTGAAGCAGGATGAAAGCTTCAAGCTTTCAGTTTCATTAGGTAGTACTCCTGAATGGTACTCCTGAACTCTGGTCCTTAAGGTAAGGTCCAGAGCTTCACCGATCAGGTGAAAGCCCTAAGCCGTTACGACTACTTAGCCCCTGGAAGGAACGAGGAAAAGGATTTGAAGGATTTGGGACAGGATGGGACGAGGGAATGGCGCCCATCCACATGGACGATAAGGAATAGAACCCCGACCTGCAAGAAGAGAAATCCTCCGCTCTGCCGTCCAGTCCAAATGACTGGTCTAGACCTAGTTTAAGAGAGAGAGAGAGAGAGAGAGAGAGAGAGAGAGAGAGAGAGAGAGAGAGAGAGAGAGAGAGAGAGAGAGAGAGAGAGAGAGAGAGAGACAGAGACAGAGAGAGAGAGAGAGAGAGAGAGAGAGAGAGACAGAGACAGAGAGAGAGAGAGACAGAGACAGAGAGAGAGAGACAGAGAGAGAGACAGAGAGACAGAGAGAGAGACAGAGACAGAGAGAGAGAACATAGTTAACATTCACAGTATTATCTTATGAACACGTGGTGACAGGCGACATCAATAACAGAAAGTCGGCAATTTGCATTAATAAATCAGTACCAACCCAACCTGTTAATGTCATCTATATTCATCGGGAAATTATTCTTCAATCTATTCTCACCCGTAGCACATCTATTGTGATGCGCGCAGCATACAGACCTCAACAACAGAAGGCTTGAACCAATCAACTTCCTGATGGACAATCTTGGCTACGCAGACGAGGAGTCACAATAACGTGGCTGAAATATGTTGACCAGACCACACACTAGAAAGTGAAGGGACGACGACGACGTTTCGGTCCGTCCTGGACCATTCTCAAGTCGATTGTGCGGTGTGCTAAAGAATGGTGCGCGGCCAGCCCTCCTCAAAGAGCTAGGAACATCAGAAAAGAATGATTTGATCCAGGATGATGTGAATAGGAAAATAAATTCATTCACTAATAACAAACTGAATCTTTCGCATAAGTACATTCCTGACCAGGGGCCAGATTCACGAAGCTGTTATGCAAGCACTTACGAACTTGGGGCCAGATTCACGAAGCAGTTACGCAAGCACTTACGAACTTGGGGCCAGATTCACGAAGCAGTTACGCAAGCACTTACGAACCTGGGGCCAGATTCACGAAGAAGTTACGCAAGCACTTACGAACCTAGGGCCAGATTCACGAAGCAGATACGCAAGCACTTACGAACCTGGGGCCAGATTCACGAAGCAGATACGCAAGCACTTACGAACCTGTACAACTTCTCAATCTTTAGTGGCTTTGTTTATTGTAATTAAACAGTTAATGAGCTCCGAAGCACCAGGAGGCTGTTTATAACAATAACAACAGTTGATTGGCAAGTTTTCATGCTTATAAACTGTTTAATAAATGTAACCAAAGCCGTCAAAGATTGAGAAAAGATGTACACGTTCGTAAGTGCTTGCGTAACTGCTTCGTGAATCTGCCCCAGGCCTTCAGACCAGTTCACCTTGTGCCTCTGTTCACCTAGCATAGGTGGTCGGCAGTTAGTGAACTCTTGTGGGGGGTTACATCCTAGTGAAGGTCTGTAGTTCAACCTTCGGGGTACCTTTGTAAAAAAGCATACCTTTTAAAAAAAGTACCTTTGTAAAAGTACATATCTACACAGGCTTCCTGTCCCAGACAAAACGAATTAATTCATTTATCGTTGCCATCTTCCAAAAGCCAGCGCATGTGTCATCAAAGCCACGTATCAACAAAGCCACGTGTCATCAAAGCCACGTGTCATCAAAGCCACGTGTCATCAAAGCCACGTGTCATCAAAGCCACGTGTCATCAAAGCCACGTGTCATCAAAGCCACGTGTCAACAAAGCCACGTGTCAACAAAGCCATGTGTCAACAAAGCCACGTGTCATCAAAGTCACGTGTCAATAAAGCCACGTGTCATCAAAGTCACGTATCAACAAAGCCACGTATCATCAAAGCCACGTGTCATCAAAGCCACGTGTCAACAAAGCCACGTGTCAACAAAACCACATGTCAACAAAGCCACGTGTCAACAAAGCCACGTGTCAACAAAGCCACGTGTCAACAAAGCCACAGGTCAACAAAGCCACATGTCAACAAAGCCACGTGTCAACAAAGCCACGTGTCAACAAAGACACATGTCAACAAAGCCACGTGTCAACAAAGCCACGTGTCAACAAAGACACATGTCAACAAAGCCACGTGTCAACAAAGCCACGTGTCAACAAAGCCACGTGTGGGAAACGTTGTCATACGGAGAACAAAATGTTGGAATGATACAAATGAATAAGCATGGATCGATCGTTTTAATTATTAAGGAGTTTGTGAGTTGTGAGGTGAACGACGCAGCCTCAGCCGGGACCCCTGGGACGGAGCTGGGATATGAGGACAAGGAGCTGGGATATGAGGACAAGGAGCTGGGATACGAGGACATGGAGCTGCAATATGAGGACATGGAGCTGGAATACGAGGACATGGAGCTGGGATATGAGGACAAGGAGCTGGGATATGAGGACAAGGAGCTGGGATATGAGGACAAAAGCTGGAATACGAGGACATGGAGCTGGGATATGAGGACAAGGAGCCGGGATATGAGGACATGGAGCTGGGATACGAGGACAAGGAGCTGGGATATGAGGACAAGGAGCTAGGATATGAGGATATGGAGCTGGAATATGAGGACAAGGAGCTGGGATACGAGGACAAGGAGCTGGGATACGAGGACATGGAGCTGGGATACGAGGACATGGAGCTGGGATATGAGGATATGGAGCTGGAATATGAGGACAAGGAGCTGGGATACGAGGACAAGGAGCTGGGATACGAGGACATGGAGCTGGGATACGAGGACATGGAGCTGGGATATGAGGACAAGGAGCTGGGATATGAGGACATGGAGCTGGGATATGAGGACATGGAGCTGGGATACGAGGACATGGAGCTGGGATACGAGGACAAGGAGCTGGGATACGAGGACATGGAGCTGGGATATGAGGACAAGGAGCTGGGATATGAGGACAAGGAGCTGGGATATGAGGACATGGAGCTGGGATACGAGGACAAGGAGCTGGGATATGAGGACAAGGAGCTGGGATATGAGGACATGGAGCTGGGATACGAGGACAAGGAGCTGGGATACGAGGACATGGAGCTGGGATACGAGGACAAGGAGCTGGGATATGAGGACAAGGAGGTGGGATACGAGGACAAGGAGCTGGGATACGAGGACAAGGAGCTGGGATACGAGGACAAGGAGCTGGGATACGAGGACATGGAGCTGGGATATGAGGACAAGGAGCTGGGATATGAGGACATGGAGCTGGGATACGAGGACAAGGAGCTGGGATATGAGGACAAGGAGCTGGGATATGAGGACATGGAGCTGGGATACGAGGACAAGGAGCTGGGATACGAGGACATGGAGCTGGGATACGAGGACATGGAGCTGGGATATGAGGACAAGGAGCTGGGATATGAGGACATGGAGCTGGGATACGAGGAGAAGGAGCTGGGATATGAGGACAAGGAGCTGGGATATGAGGACATGGAGCTGGGATACGAGGACAAGGAGCTGGGATACGAGGACATGGAGCTGGGATACGAGGACAAGGAGCTGGGATATGAGGACAAGGAACTGGGATACGAGGACAAGGAGCTGGGATACGAGGACATGGAGCTGGGATACGAGGACAAGGAGCTGGGATATGAGGACAAGGAGCTGGGATATGAGGACAAGGAGCTGGAATATGAGGACAAGGAGCCGGGATACGAGGACAAGGAGCTGGGATACGAGGACATGGAGCTGGGATACGAGGACAAGGAGCTGGGATACGAGGACAAGGAGCTGGGATATGAGGACAAGGAGCTGGGATATGAGGACAAGGAGCTGGGATATGAGGACAAGGAGCTGGAATATGAGGACAAAGAGCTGGGATATGAGGACAAGGAGCTGGAATATGAGGACAAGGAGCTGGGATACGAGGACAAGGAGCTGGGATACGAGGACATGGAGCTGGGATACGAGGACAAGGAGCTGGGATACGAGGACAAGGAGCTGGGATATGAGGACAAGGCGCCGTGATAAGAGGACAAGGAGCCGGGATATGAGGACAAGGAGCTGGGATACGAGGACAAGGAGCTGGGATACGAGGACAAGGAGCTGAGATACGAGGACATGGAGCTGGGATTCGAGGACAAGGAGCTGGGATACGAGGACAAGGAGCTGAGATACGAGGACAAGGAGCTGGGATACGAGGACATGGAGCTGGAATACGAGGACAAGGAGCTGGGATACGGGGACAAGGAGCTGGGATACGAGGACAAGGAGCTGGGATACGAGGACAAGGAGCTGGGATATGAGGACAAGGAGCCGTGATAAGAGGACAAGGAGCCGGGATACGAGGACAAGGAGCTGGGATACGAGGACATGGAGCTGGGATACGAGGACAAGGAGCTGGGATACGAGGACAAGGAGCTGGGATACGAGGACAAGGAGCTGGGATACGAGGACATGGAGCTGGGATACGAGGACAAGGAGCTGGGATACGAGGACAAGGAGCTGGGATATGAGGACAAGGAGCTGGGAAACGAGGACATGGAGCTGGGATACGAGTACATGGAGCTGGGATACGAGGACAAGGAGCTGGGATACGAGGACATGGAGCTGGGATTCTCGTCTTTTCTCGTGTAGTAACGAAAAGGAGTCACATTCCTTTCCGTCACATTCAAGAATATTTCTACAAGACTACTGCTTGTCACCTCTGTTTGTCTCCCGTCACCTCTGCTTGTCTCCCGTCACCTCTGCTTGTCTCCCGTCACCTGTTTGTCTCCCGTCACCTCTGCTTGTCTCCCGTCACCTCTGCTTGTCTCCCGTCACCTGTTTGTCTCCCGTCACCTCTGCTTGTCCCTCCCCCCGTCACTAAACAATTGACGTCCCCCGGGATATGAGGACAAGGAGCTGGGATATGAGGACAAGGAGGTGGGATATGAGAAAAAGGAGCTGGGATACGAGGACAAGGAGGTGGGATATGAGGACAAGGAGGTGGGATATGAGGACAAGGAGCTGCGATATGAGGACAAGGAGCTGGGATATGAGGACAAGGAGCTGGGATATGAGGACAAGGAGCTGGGATATGAGGACAAGGAGCTGGGATATGAGGACAAGGAGCTGGGATATGAGGTCAAGGAGCTGGGATATGAGGACAAGGAGCTGGGATATGAGGACAAGGAGCTGGGATACGAGGACAAGGAGCTGGGATATGACTATGTAGGATGTGAGCAGGAAAAATGGGATTGTAAATGAAAGAGATTAGGGATTGGTTTATGCTGTGGGGTGAGAAGATGAGAGAGAAAGAGTGTAGGTTTTCTATAATTCTCTCTCTCTCTCTCTCTCTCTCTCTCTCTCTCTCTCTCTCTCTCTCTCTCTCTCTCTCTCTCTCTGTTCAAAAAACAAACCTTCCTTGTTCCGTTATCCGCTGAATTAAACGCACTAAACGCACACGAAACATTACAGGAAAAGACGAAGCCCACTGCGCCAAAACTCTCTCTGCTCGCATACAAATGAGCCGTTATTGAACCATTAATTAGCCGCAGCGCGAGTGAATAGGCCCTTTATAGCCCTGTAATATATATATATATATATATATATATATATATATATATATATATATATATATATATATATATATATATATATATATATATATATATAATGAAGCAGCCTTGTGGCTTAGTCTGCTGGCCGCAGTCAGCAGAGGGCGTAGGTCTGCTTAGGATGTGTAATGCATTAAGCAGTGGGAGGAGCAGGCAGCACCTACCGGGGCTTCTGATTGGCTGACACCTTGTTGGAAGAGACGTGAAGAATTGCTGAGTATTTAGTGCATGAGGAACGCTGAATAAACGAGGAATAGACGAGGACAAGAGGTGATTGGGCAGTGGAGACGGCCCCTGACCCCTCCCTCTCTCTCTCTCACCCCCTCCCTCTCTCTCTCTCTCACCCCTCTCCCTCCCCCCATGAGGAAGTCATGAGTAAGGAGGCTCACCCAGCCTCAGTGTGCAGTAGGCTTGAGTGGTGAGTGTTCCCTTGTGTCGGCCGAGACTCACCGCTGAATATACAGGTGAGTAAAGCCTCGTTAGTTCAAGGTATGGTTACTACAACCTTCCAGTTGAAATAGATTTGTTAACATACAACTGTTGTTGCTTGTGGGCCTTGTTGTATTCACTCTACGGCAGTGCCAAGAGAAGCCAACAGTGCCAAGTGAAGCCAGCAGTGCCAAGTGAAGCCAACAGTGCCAAGTGAAGCCAACAGTGCCAAGAGAAGCCAACAGTGCCAAGTGAAGCCAACAGTGCCAAGAGAAGCCAACAGTGCCAAGTGAAGCCAGCAGTGCCAAGTGAAGCCAACAGTGCCAAGAGAAGCCAACAGTGCCAAGTGAAGCCAGCAGCGCCAAGAGAAGCCAACAGTGCCAAGTGAAGCCAACAGTGCCAAGAGAAGCCAACAGTGCCAAGAGAAGCCAACAGTGCCAAGTGAAGCCAAGAGAAGCCAACAGTGCCAAGAGAAGCCATTAGCGCCAAGAGAAGCCAACAGTGCCAAGAGAAGCCAGCAGTGACAAGAGAAGTCAACAGTGCCAAGTGAAGCCAAGAGAAGCCAACAGTGCCAAGAGAAGCCAACAGTGCCAAGAGAAGTCAACAGTGCCAAGAGAAGCCAACAGTGCCAAGAGAAGCCAACAGTGCCAAGAGAAGCCAACAGTGCCAAGAGAAGTCAACAGTGCCAAGAGAAGCCAACAGTGCCAAGAGAAGTCAACAGTGCCAAGAGAAGCCAACAGTGCCAAGAGAACCCAACAGTGCCAAGAGAAGCCAACAGTGCCAAGAGAAGTCAACAGTGCCAAGAGAAGTCAACAGTGCCAAGAGAAGCCAACAGTGCCAAGAGAAGTCAACAGTGCCAAGAGAAGCCAGCAGTGCCAAGAGAACCCAACAGTGCCAAGAGAAATCAACAGTGCCAAGAGAAGCCAGCAGTGCCAAGAGAAGCCAGCAGTGCCAAGAGAAGTCAACAGTGCCAAGAGAAGTCAACAGTGCCAAGAGAAGTCAACAGTGCCAAGAGAAGCCAGCAGTGCCAAGAGAAGCCAGCAGTGGTATGGTGAGCCAACAGTGCCAAGAGAAGCCAACAGTGCCAAGAGAAGCCAGCAGTGCCAAGTGAAGCCAACAGTGCCAAGAGAAGCCAGCAGTGCCAAGAGAAGCCAACAGTGCCAAGAGAAGCCAACAGTGCCAAGTGAAGCCAACAGTGCCAAGAGAAGCCAGCAGTGCCAAGAGAAGCCAGCAGTGCCAAGAGAAGCCAACAGTGCCAAGAGAAGCCAGCAGTGCCAAGAGAAGCCAACAGTGCCAAGAGAAGCCAACAGTGCCAAGTGAAGCCAACAGTGCCAAGAGAAGCCAGCAGTGCCAAGTGAAGCCAACAGTGCCAAGAGAAGCCAGCAGTGCCAAGAGAAGCCAACAGTGCCAAGAGAAGCCAACAGTGCCAAGAGAAGTCAACAGTGCCAAGAGAAGCCAACAGTGCCAAGAGAAGCCAGCAGTGCCAAGAGAAGCCAACAGTGCCAAGAGAAGCCAACAGTGCCAAGAGAAGCCAGCAGTGGTATGGTGAGCCAACAGTGCCATGGAACAAGCCATAAGTGAGAGAGAACAATGACAGTGAACAAACAAGCAGTAGTAGAGAACCCTCCAGGAGAACACGAGAACATAAAACATAACACAGACATGTGTAATATAACAAACATAACAACCTGACCTGTTATGACACTAACAAAGTGTAATTCACATGGTGACAGATGTTAATTTTAATTTTTTGTCTTGTAGACGTGATGGCCTGGCGTATGGTGATGATGGTGACGGCAGTGATGTGTATGGTGACGGAGGCCGCCGGGGACATGGAGGTCACCATCAGAGACCTGTTTGAGGCACCATTGGGGGTCGAACAGGGGAGGTTTTTTCTTAGTTACGACCCAGCGGAGGCTTTCAACACCTCTGTGGGGTTCACTCTCCCCTTCTTCTCCTTTCTTCAGCCAGGCGCGGCCAGTTTCGAAGCTGCCGGGTTGAATATGATTTCCTTCGGGATCTACGGGTTTCTATCGTGGTTCATGCTGGGAGCCGTGGGCGTGGCTATTTATAATACCGCTCAGGTGACGCCGTCCAGCAGAGAGAGATCCGATAATCTGTTCTTCCGTGGGGCGTCACTGAATTGGCTCGTTAAGGAGTCAGTCTCGCGTCTCCCAGATGTTCTGTGTTTGAGGAGCTGTTTGAAGCAGTCCATATGTAGCGTCTACGGTGATTCAGAGAGCTATGGCTTCCTCATCTTGGCATCCGGGATCTTCCTGCCGTAAGTACTGGTTCGAGAGAGATTCTCCTTTCCGAATGTCTATCTTAACAGCTTGTAACTTGGCTTCAATAATTCTTAGTTTTTTGTTTTAAATTTAAAACGTGAAATTATATGCTATTTAAGGTTAGGTCCTTTATATTCCCCTACCTTACCCCCCACACACACACAATAAGCCATCAGCGACAGTTTCAGCCAGTAATAACAGAAGAACAAGCTGTGTTCTCGTGAACACCAAAGACATACAATGAGTTCCCGAGAACAGAGAGATTTTCCACACAATATCCACGGCGTCTGACACCAAATTTATTTGAAAAAAAAGAAAGTTTAAGGCCGGTAGTTATGTTACTGACTCGTCACTCCTTCCTCAGGTACTCCCCGAAGACACCTGAAGAGCAGTTGACGGAGTTCCAGAAAGCGGCGAGATACGGACAGGAAGACGGAAGTGACTGTCCATACGAGTATCCCTGTGTCGTCAAGCCCCTCGACCTCCTCCTCTACATCTACGACTACTGGTACGACGACCCCAGAGGTCGTTCACAGGTGCTCTGAACTTCGTCGAGGACGCCCAGTCAACAGGTGCTTCCACTCTGGGCGGCTAACTATCCTACACCTGCACCTTTGTAATGATGACCTCTGTCGCGAGAAGAATCTTGCAAACGACATTTGCAACATCACCTTTCTCTCGTTCTGGATATCGTTTCGACCCTTGGTTCTCCCGCGACCAACCTGATATCTGAGCAGATATCCAGTTGTGATAAACAGACGATGAGTCACAATAACGTGGCTGAAGTATGTTGACCAGACCACACACTAGAAGGTGAAGGGACGACGACGTTTCGGTCCGTCCTGGACCATTCTCCATTCGGCTCACAATCGACTTGAGAATGGTCCAGGACGGACCAAAACGTCGTCGTCCCTTCACCTTCTAGTGTGTGGTCTGGTCAACAGTTGTGATAACCGTCGAGAGGCAAATATATTATGATATCATTGTTCAAATGTTGCTCTACAGTAGCTGGGATGTGTCATGTCATTGTGTTGTGGCTGGGGTGTGTGTATGACTCATCATACTCCAGTGAGTATGATGAGTCAAAAACGAGTATGATGCAAAGTAAATGCATGATATAATAACCAAATAGAGCTTCGACCCCACACACGAGAAGGCTACCTACCTTGAGGCTACCTTGAGGTGCTTCCGGGGCTTAGTGTCCCCGCGGCCCGGTCGTCGACCAGGCCTCCTGGTTGCTGTACTGATCAACCAGGCTGTTGATCAGGAGTCCCAGGTTCGACTCTCCCAGTGCCCAGGTGAACGACATGACCTGATCATAATAAATGCAATTAATAAAAAATGTATAATGTTGGTCATGCATTATTCAACACAACTTAATTACTTTTCACTTGTATGACTCGTTGCTACTTAAACCAGTTATGGCATAACTCGTGTCATAACTCATGTCAGTTGCTTTATGACAACTGACATGAACTCAGTACGGAAAAAAGAAAACGAAATATGACGCAAAATCTTCATACAAAAAACGTAATGTGATTATGTGAGGATGATTATGACTGATGTATAAAACTGAAGACGAATTTTATAAATAAATATAAATAATAAAGAGTAAATAACACACACACACACACACACACACACACACACACACACACACACACACAGGCTGGTGGTGGAGGCTGACTCCATACACAGTTTCAAGTGTAGATATGATAGAGCCCAGTAGGCTCAGGAACCTGTACACCTGTTGATTGTCAGTTGAGAGGCGGGACCAAAGAGCTAGAGCTCAACCCCCGCAAGCACAATTACGTGAGTACACACACACACACACACACACACACACACACACACACACACACACACACACACACACACACACACACACACACACACACACACACACACACACACACACACACACACACACACACACACACACACACACACACACACACACACACACACACACACACACCCACACACACACACACACACACACACACACACACACACACACACACACACACACACACACACACACACACACACACACACACACACACACACACACTCGTGAGGAATTGAATAAGAAATTCCAGGAGGTCTTCACCTTAGAACAAGGAGAAATTCCAGAGGTAAGTGAGGGAATAGCTAACCAGGAACCACTGGAAGAGTTTGAGATTACCAGTGGGGAAGTAAGGAAGTGTTTACTAGAGTTGGACGTGACGAAGGCTATAGGCCCAGATGGAATCTCCCCTTGGGTTCTAAAGGAAGGAGCAAAAGAACTGAGCCTACCACTCTCCATAGTGTATAACAAATCACTGGCAACAGGGGAACTGCCAGATATTTGGAAAGCAGCTAACGTAGTCCCGATATACAAGAAAGGGGATAGACAGGAGGCACTGAACTACAGGCCAGTGTCCCTAACCTGCATACCATGCAAGCTGATGGAGAAGATTGTGCGAAAAAAAACTAGTGGAGCATCTGGAGCGAAGGAACTTTGTAACACAGCATCAACATGGGTTCAGGGATGGCAGGTCCTGCCTCACAGGGTTACTTGAATTCTACGACCAGGCAACAAAAATAAGGCAAGAAAGAGAAGGGTGGGCAGACTGCATATTTTTGGATTGTCAGAAAGCCTTTGATACAGTACCACACAAGAGGCTAGTGCGAAAGTTGGAGATGCAGGCTGGAGTGAGAGGGAAGGTACTCCGGTGGATAGAGGAATACCTAAGCAACAGGAGACAACGAGTCTGTGTGAGGGGTGAGGTCTCAGATTGGCGAGACGTCACAAGTGGAGTCCCGCAGGGGTCAGTCCTTGGACCTATACTGTTTCTGGTATATGTAAATGATCTCCCAGAGGGTATAGATTCGTTCCTCTCAATGTTTGCCGACGATGCAAAAATTATGAGGAGGATTGAAACAGAGGATGATAGTAGGAGGCTACAAGATGACCTGGATAGACTGAGTGAATGGTCCAACAAATGGCTGTTGAAGTTCAACCCGAGTAAATGCAAAGTAATGAAACTAGGCAGTGGAAACAGGAGGCCAGGCACAGGATACAGAATAGGAGATGAAGTACTTAATGAAACAGACAGAGAGAAAGATCTAGGAGTTGATATCACACCAAACCTGTCTCCTGAAGCCCACATAAAGAGAATAACGTCTGCGGCATATGCGAGGCTGGCTAACATCAGAACGGCGTTCAGGAACCTGTGTAAGGAATCATTCAGAATCTTGTACACCACATATGTAAGACCAATCCTGGAGTATGCAGCCCCAGCATGGAGCCCGTACCTTGTCAAGCACAAGACGAAGCTGGAAAAAGTCCAAAGGTATGCTACTAGACTAGTCCCAGAACTAAGAGGCATGAGTTATGAGGAAAGGCTGCGGGAAATGCACCTCACGACACTGGAAGACAGAAGAGTAAGGGGGGACATGATCACAACCTACAAAATCCTCAGGGGAATCGACCGGGCAAACAAGGATGAACTATTCAACACTGGTGGGACGCGAACAAGGGGACACAGGTGGAAACTGAGTGCCCAAATGAGCCACAGAGATATTAGAAAGAACTTTTTTAGTGTCAGAGTGGTTGACAAATGGAATGCATTAGGAAGTGATGTGGTGGAGGCTGACTCCATACACAGTTTCAAATGTAGATATGATAGAGCCCAATAGGCTCAGGAATCTGTACACCAGTTGATTGACGGTTGAGAGGCGGGACCAAAGAGCCAGAGCTCAACCCCCGCAAGTACAATTAGGTGAGTACACACACAAGAAACACTGTGTTGTCATGATATATCAACACCACATGCCATAGTACCACCAAGTACTAACAGTGTTGTAGTATGGTACTCATCCTCGTCACGATAAGATTAACGAGATATCACCATGATATGTGCGTTAATACCAAGGGCAGCTTCCCATTGGTCGCTCCCCTTAACTGCCAATAGCAGTTAATTGCATCTTAAGTTACTGCCAATAGAAGCTCAGGTTACTATCAAATGACAGCTCAAGTTACTATAAGGGAAAGCTTAAGTTACCACCAATTGCAGCTTAAGTTACTGACAATGGCAGCTTTAAGCTATTATCAACATTAGCTTAAGTTAATATCAACAAAACCTCAGCTTACAACTAATGCAAGTTATGCTCTCCAGTTCATAATTTAGACAATAGGAGCTAGTAATTACTCTGTAGGCGATGAGTCACAATAACGTGGCTGAAGTATGTTGATCAGACCACACACTAGAAGGTGAAGGGACGACGACGTTTCGGTCCGTCCTGGACCATTCTCAAGTCGATTGTGTAGTAATTACTCTAATTGTTTAACTCTAATGGAAAACAGATGACAATTGATAGTTTCAAATGCAATATGATCATAAAAGAATTAACATCTGGTAAGATTCTGTTTCTCTTCAGACTCTGTTATCTTGAGGTTATCTTGAGATAATTTCGGGGCTTTAGTGTCCCCGCGGCCCGGTCCTCGACCAGGCCTCCACCCCCAGGAAGCAGCCCGTGACAGCTGACTAACTCCCAGGTACCTATTTACTGCTAGGTAGCAGGGGCATTCAGGGTGAAAGAAACTTTGCCCATTTGTTTCTGCCTCGTGCGAGAATCGAACCCGCGCCACAGAATTACGAGTTCTGCGCGCTATCCACCAGGCTACGAGGCCTCTGTAGTCAGGTTAATGGATGGAAATTGATTACCGAGTTTGACTACAAATTCAGATGATTAAGAATGATCAATTAATTGATTAAGATGATCAGAATGCTTAAGTTTAGAATGCCATCAATTAACAAATTCAATTCATTGGAGTTGCGTTGGGAGACATTTCTTATGATGCCATATATCAATATATGTTGATACCATATCTCAACTATTGATACCATTGATATCACGCTCGGAGCCGGTCGGCCGAGCGGACAGCACGCTGGGCTTGTAATCCTGTGGTCCCGGGTTCGATCCCAGGCGCCGGCGAGAAACAATGGGCAGAGTTTCTTTCACCCTATGCCCCTGTTACCTAGCAGTAAAATAGGTACCTGGGTGTTAGTCAGCTGTCACGGGCTGCTTCCTGGTGTTGGAGGCCTGGTCGAGGACCGGGTCGCGGGGACACTAAAGCCCCGAAATCATCTCAAGATAACCTCAAGATAACCATATATCATTAGTGTGTATGGTAGGGTAAGGTAATTACTAAGTCAGTATGACTATATGTGGAAATTGGAAGGGATATGAGTTATCTTAAGTTATCTTGAGATGATTTCGGGGCTTTTAGTGTCCCCGCGGCCCGGTCCTCGACCAGGCCTCCACCCCCAGGAAGCAGCCCGTGACAGCTGACTAACACCCAAGTACCTATTTTACAGCTAGGTAACAGGGGCATAGGGTGAAAGAAACTCTGCCCATTATTTCTCGCCGGCGCCTGGGATCGAACTCAGGACCACAGGATCACAAGTCCAGCGTGCTGTCCGCTCGGCCGACCGACTCCCTGGAAGGCGATGGGAAGGAATGGTAGACAACTAATAGGATCATTGCGGGATTGAACGCCGACTTGTAAGAACGCAAAAGTCTCTTTTTTTTTTTTTTTTTTTTTTTTTTGAGATATATAGAAGAGTTGTTACATGGTTGTAGAGCCACTAGTACGCGTAGCGTTTCGGGCAGGTCCTTAATCCTATGGTCCCTGGAATACGATCCCCTGCCGCGAAGAATCGTTGTTACAACCAAGTACACATTTTACTGTTGAGTTAAACAGAGGCTACAGTTAAGGAATTGCGCCCAGTAAATCCTCCCCGGCCAGGATACGAACCCATGACATAGCGCTCGCGGAACGCCAGGCGAGTGTCTTACCACTACACCACGGAGACTGTAAACCTAACTCACCGCTGTACCGACCAGACCAAAAGGTTGGGTAAGAGTTTGTGTGGGTTGACCCATTATTATTCTAAAAGATTGATGATCAAATTCATCCATTTTAAACCATTTATAATATACACTTAATTTCGTGAGGTTCAGAACTGTAGAAGTTGGTCAAGTAAATATTATTTTATTTTTCATAATCAAGTAATACGACCTAACTTAACCTAGAACCTAACTTAACCTTAATCAAACCTAGCATAACTTAACCTAACCTAACCTAGATTAACTTAACCTAACCTAACCTAACCTAACCTAGATTAACCTAACCTAACCTAGATTAACTTAACTTAACTTAACCTAACCTAACCTAGATTAACTTAACCTAACCTAACCTAACCTAACCTAACCTAGATTAACTTAACCTAACCTAACCTAACCTAACCTAGATTAACCTAACCTAACTTACCCTTAATCAAACCTAGCATAACTTAACCTAA